CAGGGTTGAGCTCAGATACATGCATTTTCCTTCTCAGCGAAGGTTAAATTTTATTTTGTAATCACAAGTAACCTAGTAGCAAAAAAAAAGCTTTAAAACCCTGCTTGTCCCCAGTGTTACCCTAATACTTATGAGCTGCTTCTGCCAGCGATTCTTCCTACTCCTTACTCCTTCCAAACCAACTACTGCACCAAAGGCAGAGTAACTGAGGGATGGAAACCAGTGTGGGAGAGCAGAGCTAGCACCCTGATTAGCGGCTCGTTTTCTCCACTCAGCATAATTTCTGAGTCCTACAGAATGCAGAAGGTGACCTTTCTATGGTACAATAACCAAAGGCTTGCACTGGCTTATTAGCCTGAACTAAACTCATACTGACCACAACTACAAGGCTTCAATTCCAAGTTAGCTCGGAGAGCACTCGTGTCTGCTATTAGCTAGCACTGGCTCGGCAGTGAATATTGGGTTTGCACCTTATGGCCAAAAAAAGACACATTTACTTTTTCTGGTTCTCTCTATCCCTTCCCAAGTGTGACCAACACTGTACAGCCCTTTGCTTTCCAAGTGTTTAAAAAATATGGTTGGGATAGCTAAATGAGCTTTTAGCAATTATTTCTCAACTTTTTCTGCCGATAAAACCTACAGCATTTCCTTAAAACATCGTAGAATGTTACTGCAGTTCAAGGGAGACCGTCTGTTGCTCTGCATTGCCTTAGGATGTACGCGTGTCTGTCTGTCTGTCTTATGCAGCGAGGCTAGTACTGGACGTAGGACGGACATGTAATTCTGAAGAGATCACATGAATGATGATGCTGTTGTCTAATTGCTATTTCTTTTAGTCATTCCTTATCTCCACACAGGCATTATGTGAAAAATGCATTCCACATCAACCCAAAGTTCTACATCTGCTTGACTGTACTTAAAAGGAGAGAAGAAATGACTGTAAACCTATCTCCCCAGCAAATACCAGTTCGGGATTGCTTGTTGCACTAGGCAGGTGCACATTTCTGGCATCTATTTAAACTTAACAATGTGCACAACCAGATAATCTCAATGTAAATAATATATCATGGTCGTTTTATGCAAGCCTGTGTACAAAATGCTGATTTAGGTTTGCTGCTGCATGGAAAATAAACTATATTTTCTGTACGGTCTTTCTGCAAATATATAATTATGCTGCCTTGTGGTTTAAAAAACAAAACAAAACACCACCACCAAAAAAAAAAACCAAACCCACCACTACAACCCTCCCTCCAAGACCTGGGTGAGAAGAAACCATGTTAAAAGATGAACTTTGGATCCCAGGCCTCCAGTGGGAAATTGTTGCTTCCTGCGGGGGGAGGGTGGCGGGGGGGGGGGGGGGG